ATCTCGGAAAATTATTAATTTTCTTAGAAGAAAATGAATTTTGAAATGTACACGTCCACACCCAAATCACTTACTGCCGCCCTACTGGCAACACTGAGGAAGAGCGGCACACGGAGGCTGCCATGATGGCACTGACGTTGCCGTGACGTCACATGTTGGTCAGGGTGCTTGCTTTGGAGCTTGTTGGTGCTGGGACTGTCTGGTTTTTGCCTATTTTATCGGTTTATACAGCACACGCGAGCACGCTGATGAAATGCACGTTCACGAAGCCGAAGCTACATGCGCGAATGATGTCTCAAACGACGCTTTTACAGCGCGAGAATGGAAATTGAGGTTACGAGGCCCTAACGATCTTCCGTCCCCGCGATCGTGCCTTCTGTCCATAGGGAGTTTTAGTAGATAGTTATCAGACGCCCGCTACCCCTCCGGGCGCGCTAGAGCATGCTTGGAAGTGGCGGCGCGATCTCGCGCTACGGAAGCGTCGCTTGAAAACACGGTCTACTAAAACCGTCTATTGTCAGACCCCAAGATATAACAAAAAGTGCCTCCAATTAAAAGGCATAACGTCGATCAGTTTTTCTTGGCGTGCTAGCAACAAAAACTGCCTTACCATTCCGCTTCCGAAGCGGCATCTGGGTCCACATGGCGGCGGATCACGAATGCAGCCGCCGCTGGCGCTTCCCTCAGAGGCGATGCCGGCGGATCGTATGAAAACGGGTTATCGTCATCGTCCTCAAAATCTAGCCGCATATCCTCATCGTTGCTCGATTCAGACCAGCTTGATGAGTCCATTTTCATCCGCGGCACGAACACAAAACAGTGACCTGCTGCCAGGCTGGCCAGGCTCAAACTGCACACGTGCGAGTGTTTATACCATATGTGACGTCACATCAAAATGGCGGACCAGTCGAGTGGCAAGTTAGTTTCGGTTTCGGTTTCAGCGTATTTTAACGATTATAAATTATGTAAACAGTTTTTTAATGATTTAACCGCTGCTATAGGCTAAATTTTTAGTACCCTTTCCGAAAATATGTTTCGATAAAAACGCTCAAATTGACGGCGGAGCTGCCCTTTAAAAACACGTTACCACACATTGTCGCGCTAAGTCACAAGCTTTAATCCAAATTTAAATCCAATTTGATAATTACGATCAGCCATTACAACCCAGTGATACACGTCCGCACGCCGGTACGATGCTATACTTCGTTTCAACTTCGGTCCAGACGCAGACAAAGCTACAAGCGCGAGCTCCGGACTTTCAGCATCCCTACCAAGCACGCGCGCTCGTGCAGTGCAAGCACTGTTCTGGGCCACATGCTCGCGCTTGTAGCATCGGCTGCGTCTGGACCGAAGCTGAAACGAAGTATAGACCAAATCGAAACAAACAGGGGTACGGATTGAACCCAGGATCTCTGGGCTCTGCAGCGCGAGCTTTCGCTCCGCGTGCTCCGAGCTGGTGTGCGCGAGCCCACTCGGCCACTCGCCACTCGCCACAGCGAAACATCATGGAGTGTGTGGAGGACGAGCTGGAGGGCGATATCCGCGATGTTGGACAGTGGAAGCGCGTGGTTGGGTCACTTTTCTCCGTGAGAGCCCAACGCCTTTCAGATGAGAGGCAGCCGGACCTGGATACCGACGCACAGGCAAGAATTTCAAGTGACATCGATCAGCAGCTGCAGGCCAATGCCTTCACCATAGCCGCTCTCATGACCGACAACCTACCCGTGATCAGTCGAGAACGGTGGACTTTCCAGAGGAACGAACGGTGGTTCGAAGACACCTTGCCCCATTTGGGCGAGTTCCATTTCAAGCAAGCCTTTCGCGTCTCTCCTGCCACCTTCAGATTCCTGGTGGAGTCTTGCAGGTGCCTCCTGGCCGTCGCTGGCCGTTGCGCAGGAGCCAAAGCTGGAAACTAGTTTAGCCGCTTGTTTTTCTACAATGCACTACTTTCCTGCCAACAGAAAACAAGTGCGCATCTAATATTACTCCTATAAAAATAATACTAATTTTACGCAGCGTTAATTTCTTCTATTATTTTTACTCATTGAACACTGCTATCGAGATTACACACTCGGTCTACCGGAGCGAGCGTAGTGTGTTCCCCGAACTCACTTCATTGGAAGTGCGTTCTTCGGGCAGTGCTGGGGATTGAGCTCAGGATCCCTCGGTTCTCCAGCGCGAGCTTTCTCTCCACGTAATCCGATTTTGTGGGCGCTGGCCCACTCCGCCACCGATACCCCTTAATAAAGACACGTTAAAAAAAAATGACGTTTACAATTTTTTGTAATGCCGAATCGGAGCGCAGCTCTTGAGGAGGAGGAGGGGGGGGAGGGTACGAAGGGGAGGGTACACCAGCTGCTCCCCCTCCGTGCCCTCCCATCCTCCTCTCCTGTTCCGATCCCACTTAGCGTAAATCTTTCGCGAAGTTTCCCGCTAAATTAAGCCGGGAAATTTTTCCGCTGAATTGACGTGTGACCCCACATGACACGTCACCTGAAATTTTAAGTGGGACTTCACGTGACGTCATACGGGTAAAATTTTCCCTCTAAATTTAGCAGAAAACTTTTCCACCAAAGTTAGCAAAAACGTTTACCGCAAATTTTAGCGGAAAAACTTTACCCTCGTGACGTCACACGTGATGACACACGTGACGCCACGTGTGACGTCATTTTGGGAAACAGCCCTTAAGGCAACGCGTGGTTACGCCGACGCCGCTCAACTCAGAAACGGGTTCCTTGGAGCTGTGCTCTAAAACAACGTTACATTAATGAACGATTTTTACGCCAATTGGATGATTCTGATTGATCATCGCAATCCTAGATAAAGAACGAAGCATATCCAACTTTGGCGTTCCGCTTCGTTCCGTGAAAGTCTACGAGGAGGTCCTGAAACTGCCTAATTAGATAATAATTATCCTGTTGTCTCGAATAGTTACATGCTGAAACAAAAGTACGCTCCATCATTCTCTGCTAACCAAGATAGCCGTTGAACGACTGACTTTGTCGTCGTCTTTTATCAATTCGCGCTGCGCTAATCTTGGTTCAGATCAGCCTAAACTCCAAGTTCATCCTACAATTTTTTTTTTTTGCAATTCCTCTCTTCTACATGTCCTCTCTTTCACGAATTTCTTTTTCTTTATAACATAAAACTTACGACACCCTTTTGGTTTCTGTGTTGTTATGTTTTACTGTTGAAACACTCCTATTGATGCCACGCACTCGATCGAGCGAAGTGAGTTCGTCAAACTCACTCGAAGCCAAGTGTGTTACTCAGGAAGGAGCCGTGTGGCACACTATAAAAATGACACTAAGGGCGAAGTGCACTCGCTTGTAGTGACACTAAACTTGCCCGTCTGACAGGGGTATAAGATGGCACCGCCCTCGTAGAAAAGTTGTATAATATGCAATGAGCCGTCTTTTGGCCTGTACAGATGCAGGGTGCTTCCTAGGAAGTCCGCATCTAAAAAAGGTGGGAAGTTGGGCTAGTGGGTCAACGTAATTGATCGACGTAATCGAAACCACAAATTGACGGCACCGAGTCAAACAGAACAGCGCCGGACAAGCACCTCTTGTCCTGTGTGCTTTCCTTTTAGTTTGTTCCATGCATTTCCGCTGTTTACACCATACCCCGTCTGTACATGTCACAAACGGACGGTGGTGACTATAGCGGACACTACAACAGGGGAACGCCGGTGACAGAGGTTTCCCTGTACCTGACATTGCAAACGCCAGGGAAAGGCAAGACAGCCAGGGGAGAATCGCTATTTTTCTCTGAAGCGAATACGAGCCTTTACCGCTAGGTGGGAACAGGGCTAGAGCACGCAGACAACAAGGGCGTCACTTAGCAGAGTTAAGCGCAGGGCCCAGACTGACAGGAGTAGCGCGTAAGCGTTCGGTTGGGACTGATTGAACACGAGACTCACCAGACGCTGACTCGGCCCTCGTGCTCACGTGTTGGCCTACTGGAGGTGACATAAAAACTCTAGCACGACGGCCTTTGTCTCGACAGTTACCCACAGCTGAAAAAACGCAGGATAACGCTGGTAAAAAAGGAGTTTATTTAAGTGAAACGTGATACACTCCGGTTCTCTCAACTAAAGTCATCCAAGCCGGAGGGAAGGGAAGAGGGAAATGGAATGGGCAAAAAGATGGGTGACCAGAGGCCATAACCTACACGGCGGGACGAAGGGGAACCAAGGGCCCGGACGTCGTCGCCTGTTGCGATTGGTCAGCGGCGCGAAACTGGCCAGTGGCACCAGACGGTGATGTCCCGGTCCCACTTGGTCCCGCCGTGTAGATTAAGGCCCTAGATGTACAGTGCGAGATGGGCCTCTCGCACGTAGGAAAGCAGAGAGTCCAGGGAGACGTGGCGTGCATCTCATTATTGCTCCGCAGACAATGAGGCGGCGGCATTAGCCGATAAGGACGACTAAGGACCAATCACGAAGCGGCAATATAATAAACCACTCCCTGCGTTCCATCCTTTGCCATAGGAGGTGAGTGCAGCTTTCTCTCCTTATGCTACCACTATTGCAAATATTGACGCGAGCAACGGCAGTCGACCTTCCGCCTCCGATCTGGCTAATACCGTCAAATTTTGGCCGATTGTCCTACACTGTTGAGGGAAATGCTGCAGCGTACGTATTGCTCGTAAAATACACTTAAAAATATGCCCGAGTTCATTTTTTTGCCAAACAAGCTAACAGTCAATCGCGGCAAACCCTAGAAGAATCCGTGAGAATGCTGAAGCTCAGTACAGGAATTACTCTGAAAAATCGACGCGCACCGGAACAATAAGAAATTGAACCACAATGATAATTTCCCTGAACACATAGGATTATTTCGGTCTAATCAAAGTCTTCTATTCGTTATTCGCTGGGATCGTTTTACTGTTTGTCGTGATTGGATGTCTTTGTGTTTGGAAGAAAAGCCAACTCATTTCTTAGAGTGGGGTGCCGCCCCCTGTCCGCAGACCCCGCTGGACCTTTAAAGCCCACCCACCTGCTGTTGAGGGCCTGTCGGAGGTCTTCGACGCACGGGGGTCGGTCGGAGTCCCGCGTCTTGGGCTCACAGTCCGGAGTGGCAGGCCAGGGCTGCGACTGGGACCCGCTGGCGAAGAAGGCCTCGTGCACCGCCACCAGGTGGTCGGTGTCGCAGCGGAGGCGAATCTCGTACCTGCTGCACACGTGGCTCGTCTCCAGAACTGCAACGAGGAGGGCGAGGACCACGCTGTCACATCAAATTGCCGATCAACTATACACCAACTCAACTCTCCTACGTCACGCCGCGGTGGTGGCGCGCCGGACGCACTTCCGGTCTGGGGCGGTGGGCAGAAGTCGCCGTGCCAGACATGCATTCCTGTGTTCCTTCGGAAGAAACGAGACAAAAAACCTGTCTTCTCGTCAAAATGTTGCGACAGGGGCTGTACCAAGAGAGTCTGGAAAGGTTTGAAGATCAGTTTTCATGTGTTTTTGTACCCTCCGTTCGTCCGAGAACGTGGATAGTAGCCGTGAAAAGGGCAAACCAGACGCTGTCGAACTACGATTGCGTGTGCGGGCCACAATTTGTGGTCGCCAGATGTATTTGCTTTGTTCCAACATGAACGAGAGAAAACCCCCAAGTTGTGCGAACCACCCACGGGTTCAGTGCGTCTTCAAATTCACACGGCCGCCTGATCGTTCGAACTTTCGTCTGCTCTTTCAAAGTTGTCTGCTTTTTGTCGTCTGCTCGTTCAAACAAAAGCGGCCCGTAGACCAAACTTTGACCCGGTGATTGCAATAAGAAGTAATTGCAGGCCTCAAAAGGCTTAAAGGGGCACTGACACCCCAAAGGTCGTATTTATTTTTATTGTCTAAAACGATGCAAGTTGTAGTCATAGACACGCAAAAAAAACCGCATCGCGAAAAAAAATTTTCCCGCGCGCGCGCGCGCCTTTTTATTTTTGGCGTTTGATTTTCCCGCCTCTCGCCTCCTCGCTTCTTTTGATCGGTGACGTCAAAAATCAGGAAATTTAGAAGCTTTGTAGGCGACATCTCTATAACATTTAATTACGGCAATCTTAAAACATGTTTTTTAACGCAATTGCGAACGCACTACGGCCCTTCTTTTTGAAATACCAAAAATCGGGAGTTCGTTGTGGTGCCGTCTCCTGGATTTGTATCCTCCAACGGAAAACAGGCGACACCGCTCAAAACCGGTCCGCCGCAACGCCGGCGCTAGCCGGCACTCGCTCCTATCCTCCTCGCTTTGGGTCGCCATGGCAACAGCAGGGAGTGGTGACAGGAAAGTGGACTCTCAGGTCTCCTCAATTTTTGACGTCAAGGCACCGGCGCCGATCGCGCGGGAACTTCGAATTCGGCATTTGGAAATTGTTTTTTTACTTCACGAATACTGAATTCCCAAATCTCAAATTTTGAGGGTAATGTCCCGGCATCGTTTTCAATCGTTTCGGATAATAAAAAAAAAATATGATTTTGATGTGTCAGTGCCCCTTTAAGTAGGCTCGGTGTAAACAGTAGATACAAGATGTTAATTATTGGTACCGGTGGCCATCACCTACTTGTTACGCTTGGTCTGTTCCCGCTTCCGATTTTCAGTATCGACGTCGATCATCGCCGCTACCTTTTACACTTTTGCAGCACGAGCGACGTCGCGACCGAAAATAGCTACAAGAATCTCATCATGGTCTTGGCGTCCATTCTGCAGCTTTCATGCGAATGAATCGCCGCACGTCAAATTATTTACGGAAAGTTTAGCGGCGTAACGAGCCCTGATAATTTCGCTAAGGCGATTCAAGGGGTAAGACATTGCGATGAGGACGTAGAATCGACAACTCCAACGCGAAAAAGAGTATGCAGACTCACACAGACGCCGACAACGTGACATTCGAATGGTTTGTTGACGCGGGACGCGGTGCTTCTTGCCCGTACTCCATTGCGCGTGCGTTCGAACTGTCGTCTGCTCTTTCAAACTTGGCTGCTTTTTGTCGTCAGCTCGTTCAAACGACAGCGGCCCGTAAACCAAACGTTGACCCGGTAATTGCGATAAGAACTAAGTGCAGGCCTCAAAACACTTTTGAAGGTTGGTTGGGGTAAGTCGGCTAAGTGCAAACAGATACAAGAAGTTGTTGATCATTGTTACCAGTGGCCATCACCGACTTGTAATGCCCGATTCTACTTGCGGTTTTCAGTATCGATGTCCACCATCTCAGCCACGGTCCACGCTTTTGCAGTCCGAGCGACGTCGCGACCGAAAATAGCGAGCAGAATCTCATCATGGGAATCAGGCTTTAGCGCAATTCTGCGGCGTCCACGTGAAAAGAATCGCCGCACGTCACATTATTCACGCAAAGTTTTGCCTCGATAGTTTTGCTGAAGCCGCTCAAGTAGTCAGATATTGTTAGGAGGACGTAGAATCAACAATTCCAACGCGAAAAAGAGCATGGGGACTCCCACCGACGCCGACAACAACGCAATTCAATGGTTTATTTATGGGCGACGGCGGGCTTCTTGCCCACCATCCACCGCGCATGCGCGGCGCCGGTGGCGTCCGCTAGGGGCGCTCCGGTTTGTTTGTAAACATGAGTTGGTGTATAGTCAGTTACATGTTAAGAAGGTAGCGGCAAATGCCCCTCAAAGGGAATCGGATATCCCTCCGCCACCTCCGCATCCAATAGCGTCCCACCGTTCCCGTGACGTCGCGGCCAACGCGCGAGGAGGTGTCTTGCCTTTCTGTACATATTTGCTTTATCTTTCGACTTTGACTTAGCATTGTGGAAGCCACGAGAGGGAGATTAGAGTTCTCCCCCACCGACGGCAACAAATACGACTTTCGGGGATTAGCTTCCCCCCCGATGGATACGAAGGCTGCTTTCAGGGGCTCGGTTCCCTCTCCGATGAATACAAAGGTCGCTTTCTTAAAAAGTGGGATCGGAGACAAGTGGGAATCCATTGAAGCGGAACAAGGAGCGTTTCCAGTGAACTCTTCTTTCGACTGCGGAGAGATTTGAAACGGGCGTATCACACTTGTGGGAGGAGCTTCTCCTACCTTCTTGACTTGTAACCGACTATAGCAAGACACGTAACGCAGAATGTATTTAAGGGCTTCATTCTGTGCGAAAAGAGTCACGCTCCACTGCAACGAAAACCTGTTACACGCGGATCGAGGCGACGTAAAGCGTACTAACCGATAGCGGGTAATTTATAAGCCAACAAAAACACACAAAAAGGCATACGTCGCCATAAATAATCGTAATTGGAGAGATTTCACAACAGGCCCAAAACCGAAGCTCGACCCGTATGACTCAAACGGAGGAGGCGAATGGGAAGGAGGCGAACGGGGAAGAGGCCTACGGGAAGTCACGAGGTGGATCATAACGAGGGTGTTGCGTTTGCGGTTTTTATTTTCAAAACTGGCTTACGTTACGTTACATTGCTACGATTCCTACCTAATAGTATATTTTTCGTGTCTTGTTTTTATATCTTGTGCATTGCAAAGTTTTCCGAGTTTTTGTGTGAGTGATATGTCGGCATTTCCGATCAACCGAAAACTGTATAAAGTCCTTATTTCGCTTGTATATGCGTCAGCACTGGGAAAATAATTATACAAACGTTTGCACTTAGCACAGCACGTGCTTTACTTTTGCCAGCATGAAGTATAGACGACCCCGAACAGAGTTGTCAAGTCTATAACAAAGAAGTCAACACTGCCCCCCTCTCTCTCCCTCCCCCCCCCCCCCCCCCCCCCCCCAAGATAAAAAAAAAGAAAATCAGGCAGAACAAAATTTTGAAAAATGATTTTGGCATACGTTTACTGGTCTTTATTGGTTTTATACCGAAAACGAAAATATCTAATTATAACGCCTAATTATAATAGGGACTTTTAGTAGATCGTTTTCAAAGGCCGGCTACCGCTACGAGCGCGCGCTTCAGAGCTCTTGCTACGATTAGCGTGGCCTGAAAGCACGATCTACTAAAACTCTTTAATGCCCCGACTTCGCACGGTATCCAACTAAAAGCGCAGCGGGCTCGACGAACCTTCTACCCTCTCAATAGGGAATCACGTGATATATATGACGTCGCTGCCCGCTGTGTGAGATAGCTTTCGCATCAGGCGAACCCTCGTGCGATTGTGCAGTGGTTCTGAAGCCACCTAAAGAAGCTTCTAGTGGCAGAGCATAAGAAGTCATAACGCAGGTTTTATGTCTGTGTCATAACTCTTTTATATAGCCATCATGAGATCTATAATCCTCATTATTCTTCAGTCCTGTGTAAATATGTTAAAGCTCATGAACTTTGATTAATGCCTGACGAGTTTCTCAGGGTCACAAGTATTTTGCAATGTCACAGTTAGCAACATATTGCATTTAAAAATAAAGTATACATAACGTAAAATTTCGTACGAACGCCCACCCAAAAGGAGGAGAAAAATGGCGAAAAACATGGGGTGCTCTATCATTGGGGATGCCACAGCAAAACTTATCAAAAATTAACGATAAACACTGGGGCACACGCTAAAGACCACGTGACTCAGAAACGAATACTGCAAATAGCGGACACGTCAAATTCGCGTTTCACGTTGCAATGCACACGCGGAAATTCGCTACGAACTGCTTTGTCACTGGAAAGGGTACCGCAGATTGCGAACGCTGCAGGATTCGCGTTTTACGGTGCGAAGCACACCGAGATCTCGCATCTCACGGGAACGAATACCGGAAATCGCGGACGCAGCAGGTTCAAGTTTTATGGTGCAATAAACACGCGGGAACCCGCTACAAACTTGCCTGTCACGGAAACCGATATCGCGCGCGCAAGTTGCGGACAAGAACGCGGGAATCCGCTACAAACTCGCATGTCACGTGAACAAATAGCACAGATCGCGGACGCAGCAGATTGGCATTGAACAACTCGCGTGTTACGGAAACCGATATCGCTCGCGCAGATCGCGGAGAAAAACCCGGAAACTCGCTTTGAACTCGCTCGTTAGATGTACCGGTATACCGCAGATCGCGCTCTTTGATACGATTCCTCTCGGACATCGCGTGATGTCTGACGGGAATCGTGGGGTGCGCGATGTTTCGGAATTTTTATGCTAGATATTTAGCCAGAAAAACGAAATGGACGATCTCTCGGGGGAGGGCTTCTTTACGGAATTTTACTGTGTATTGTATAGATACAGTAATGTACAAAAATGTTTTTATAATCT